ATGTATTTACACTCAATATATTTGATCGCAAATTCGACCACCTCATTTCTGAAGCACTAACCGACATGCAAGCTTACGAAAGTTTTAAAGAAAGATTTCAATTATTTTCACTAACCTTCAATTTCCTTGCACCACAAGAACGCAATTTGCACTGCTCACACGACATTATGTTACGCACTAAACAAACCCACACATATACATATTATCGCTTCATACAAAATCATTTTGATCTACACACTCCATCAAGACAACCACAACACCGTTTTCAATTTATTAACTCTAAATACACTTCACCATTTTTTCTTAACTTCACATATTGCATCAAAGATACTAACCTTCACGGTATTCTTCGCAATTATGATCCCATAACCCAAATGTATATTTTTTGTCCCATCACGAAGACCTTCAACGCAGAAGAATCCAGACCCTTCCTTGTCCCACATGAATTTATTCAACCTATAGAAATCCCGATATTAGAATTCATCCACAACACTAAATACAATCACAAATTATATAATCTCATCCACAACACACCTTATGAGTTTGCAGTTGGCACTGAAGAACTAAAAACTATTAAAGCACTTCAATTGCTTTGGCCACTGCTTCAAACTAAAAACATCATTCGCATACTAGCAAAATTACTAACAAATTCCGACATAATACACGACATTTTCCCCCACGGTTTTTTCCCCGACGACTAACAGGTAAGTATAATTTATACATATTCTTCACTAATAAATTTGAAATAAATACTAACCATTCTTTATCCATGTCTTATTTAGATTTTTAGTCTTCATCCCACAATCACCTGCAAATTACACAAAAGAAAAATAAAAAATAAAAAACTTCTTCAAATTCTTCAAAACTCTATTAATATTTTGCACTAGATAAATTCAATAAAAATCATACCAATGTAGTAAAATAATTTATAAATTATTTCCCTAAAAGCAGTAATTCTAATAATGATGAAAATTTGTAACTTAATTTTTCCCCCAAAAAAAAAAAACTAGCAGTAAAATTGAAATTCTATGTAGTAAATTGATAAAACGAAAATGCAGTACTAACCTTTTGATATTTCCATTCACTCGCACAAAAATTCTATCCAAACTCGCACAGCTCGCCCACGAAGAATTGTTTAAATAATGAATTTCAGTTTCAAGCTTTCACACTCAACAACTCTAACACACGATAACACGTTTCAAACTTTCCTTTAACCCGGTTGGAAAGGAATTATATACTAAACAAAACTAACCAATGCAGCTTACTAAACACCACAAATCATAGAATAACAGCATGACTAAGGAAAGGAAACCAACGGTACCCAAACCGGATTAACCCAGTTTAAAACTGGATAATTTATTCTTTTGAAGACTATTATAAAGTCTAAGAAAGAAATAATAAAACACAAAAAAGTCGAAAGACAAACCCATACCAAAAACAATTTGATTTTTGAAAAAAGGACACAACCAACGAAACATAAGAAAAACCACAATAAACCCAACATAAAACGTTATCACATAACAGGACCTCTTACAGAAACCGCACGAAATCATACTCCCACTCCTGGCCTAACCCACCAGAGAGGACGTCCTGAGCATGCTCTATAGCCGGCCTAACCCACCGCGCTACATCCACGCTTTGTGCCCACACTTCTATTTTTAATAAGAGGTACTCAAGGGTGAGTAACTCTTTAAAATAACCGAACTAAAACAAAAAGCTTTTGTGAAAACAACTAACCAAAATCATAATTAAATTACCGAACTAATAAAAATTTTATAAAATGTAAATTATATCTTGCAGTATATAGATCAGCATACAACACCAAAGACGAACATCCAAAGACAAAAATGACCCCACTACACACGAAAAAGAATGGCCAACCACAACCGATATGCCGTCCACAATCACAACTCAAAGGATTTAGAGTTTGACTTGACTTCGCAGAAAAGGACTTCATTGAACTAGACCAATGACCACCTCGATGTTCAAGTATACGTACAGATCCGAGTAACCAGGCATCCCCTCCACGCACAACCTCCACGCCATTCCCAGACTAGGTTGAACACAAAAGAAGTTCTCTACATGAAACAGAAAAACCTGTCATAGCAAACCATTCTGAAATCAGATTTGAGTTTGTTGAGAAGACCCAGTCGTTGTCATAAGAAGACACAACGATTGATCCTGGAACTTCTCTAACAGGAGAACCCAGAAGAAATATGATGTTCGCCAAATACCAACGGCCATCATCCATCCTTTGAATTGCAGAAAAACTATTCTAAAAAACTCTGTAAAACCCGGATGGGTGGAACCTGATCTAAACTACATTTTATGATTGGATAAATTAGATATTTTACCACTGTAAAGTATTTAATATTAACCAATCATGATCCATCTAACTAACAACCCACTTATTTGTAAGTGCTGAAATTACTTGTAATTTCAGCACCAGAGAGATTTGAATTTAACTTAGAAATTAGTTGCCTCTCCAAGAGAACTTCAGCAGCCGCAATAAACCAGTATACCCTAGATCTATTGAGCCTAGCAGAGACTAGTTAAACAACCTGAGACTAGATAGTATAAGAGTAAGATTAGGATCGGTATTAGACTAAGAAGTTGCACGAATCTATCCGGCCGAAAATAAGATAGCGTGACGAGCAGACGGTGTACCCTATCCGAAATTACTCTATGAGTTAAGACCATCGGTTATAACTCAACCTTCTTTTGCGCGCATGATTTTCTGATATTGATATATAGTGTTCAAAGTGATTTTGGCTCAGTTTCAAGGAAGGATATTTTGAGTGAGAGTCATCTTCTACATTATGCAATCAAAACCCTCCCCATTATAAAAAAAATTGATTTTATCGTTCAATAAAAAAAAAGCTTTTGAGAGCAATTTTAGCTCGGAACAATGAAGCGCGCTGGAATATATTATCGACGGCTAGCTTCATAAAATAGTTGACACAACTGGAGTGCGGTCTGTATTTAGACAACCGCTTATTCATACTCGTCAGTGAGCAGACAATTACCGTATTAACCAATCAGAATCGAGATGAGAAAGCAAATTTACGAAATAAATAATTATTAATTATTCATTTCTTCCTTGTCTCGATTCTGATTGGTTAAAACGGTAATTGTCTAATTACTGACGAGTCTGAATACGCGGTTGTCTAAATACTGCTACGTAACCGACACAACTGTGGTGCTTACACGTCATGGACTCACTTTTTGCGGCAGTTGACCATATATGGTAGTAGCAAAGCCCTATGACTGTCACCGGAACACACAGTGCCAGGCCTGTATACAGCACCGCATTGTACCACCAGTTTCCTGCAAAAACTCCAGCAAGTTCTGCTTCATAGTTTGGTATTTAGGCCCCATGATTTACAATGCCCCCCAGCAAGCCTTGGAATCACAAATTTTTACGCATTGTTTTTGTTCCGATGAAAGTAGTTGAAGAGCTTAAGTGAAAAATCCGTACAGAGTTAGTTTGCTGATTAAATTTGACGTGAAACAAAAATGAATATTTTAGCAAGGTCACAAAAAACAGCTAAGATATAATTGTACAATTTTGGGCTTGAAGAATGTTTTTATGAGAAAAAATATTTCAAAATATTTTACAAAAATATTTTGCCTACAAAAAAATCTTCTGCTTAAGACTAGTTAACCTCGTGCAAAAGGACCAATCAGGATGATCAGCTCATGGCGGAGAACAATTGCTGTTCTCTTGATTAAGAAATATCGGCAATTTTTTTGTTTATGATCTCTATACCCTCAAGCAAAGAGCACAGATCGACAAGGTTCATACAACGACATTTCATTTTATTGCTAATGTTGGGAATTTTAAAGTGAATTGATCAAACAATTTATTATTAATGATCAATTTTGGTGAGTTTAAGTAAAGTTAGTGCTTTTGCCCGTTTTTCAGCGCCGAATATTTTTATAACAAACACATGAATTTTTTAACATAAATGGGGGAGTGGGGGATGTTCAAGAAAACATGCCTTTTGATATATGATTACAAATGACCACGTAAAAGTAAGTCAACCCAGGCTCGTTTCTAAAAACATTACAATAAATGCTTACAAGGTAAATATAAAAATTATATATACATATATGATTTAACACCCCCAATATTTTGTTAAATGGTACTTGTTCAATTAGATTTATTAAATGTTGCATGATTTCAGTTTTATATTTTGAATTTTTTTGACCAGTCTCAAGTTTTTTGATAAAGCTTTCAAGTTCTTGGCACATACTCTAGCAATCGAAAACTGATGAGTAATTTCCATATAACATCCATTCACCAGCAGATTTAAGGGGAGCGGACGTCCCCCCCCCTCAGGAAATCGAACCCCTGCCGTATCCATTTTTGGTGACGAAACCCAATAAAAACTAATTTTGAGAGGGGAGCGCGCGCCAAAAAAACGCTTTTTTTTGTCCAAATTTCCAAAAATTGCCTAAAAACACCTTTTTGGCCTGCTTTTCAAAATTTTGCCTACCGCGCAGAAAGTTTGTTCAAAATGGGGTTTTTATAGTGATTTAGGAGAGCTCAGAAAATCAATTTGGTTGACCTAAAAAAAGGGCGATAAAATTTTTGAAACATTTTGAAAATCAGCCCCCCCCCCCCCCCCCCCCTCGAGAAAACCCAAGATCCGCCCCTGCATTCATTACTCATTTTTTTAAACTAAGGCTTAACGATATTTTATGTTTACAGTAGCCCAGCAAGATTTTGTAAAACCAATTTTTTCGCCGTGCTTTCTTTCCGATAAAAAGTTTCCGATTGCAAGTAGTTCACAAGATTGAGTGGACACTCCATATAAATCTAGTTTGTTGAAAAAAATTCTATGTAAAATCGAATTCAACCCTTTCGCATGGTCACAAAAAACAGCTATGGTATAAATGTTTCCTCAAAGAGTCGATACTATTTCTTTTGATGAAGTTAAGCCCGAGTCAATCGACGACTTATTTTCTTGAAAACCAAATGGTCTTTTTAATTTTTATTAACCGTCCATTTTGAAGGTACAGTGGAGGTAGAAAGGGTTGAACTCATGGGCCGCCAGTCCCATAAAAGGGAAGTTGGGCAAGTCGATGAGAAAGACAGTGATCCAAATGAGAGCTATGCAGAGCAGGGTCCCCTTCAGTCCGAAGAACCGATCGTAGATCTCTTGTTTGCAGATGAACATACACCTAAAGATACAAAATGGCCAAAACTTTATTATTCATTTCGGACTGGGGCGTGTTTGTTAAAATTAACTGGGCCAATCCGTCTAAAACTTCTCTAAAGCTAAAGTTTTCTGTACGCTTTTATTGCAGCACTATACACCATGTTTTAAAATAAATCATTTAAATCAAATAGAAATAAATCAAAACTAAATTAAACACCCACAAAACAAAACAATACAAAACAAAGGTAAGAGTTTTAAACAAATTTCGAGAGCCACCATGCCTGTTGATTGCGATAAACATCATAGTCCAGAGACTGGCGAAGCAGCAAGACATGCACAAAACTCCACTAAACTCGCACAGAAGGGGATATTTAGGGAGGAAAGTGTCTCCGTAAAACACCCCAATTAATTCCAGTCCACTCATTAGCATAACTCCAAGGTCACTGACCGCTAAGTTGATGACAAGTAAGTGGGGCACCTCACGAAGGTGTTTGAACATGACAACGACCGCAATGACTTCATCATGAAACACAGTAAACTTGTTTATGGTTAGCAAGTAAGGGTATTCAAGCATTTCAAAAGGTATATAATATGTCAAATACTTGATCTCCAATAACTTCAACAGGAAAAAAAAACAGTTGCATAAGGAGAATTTTTTAAAAACTAAATTGTTGAATTGGCCCTTACAACTAGGGGGGAGGGGAGGGAGGGTGCTGAATTAGAACTAGGGGGGATGACGATCATGTTTGTGTATCTGTGTTTCCTACTGAGTATATTTCCTGGGATTCCGAGGAGGACAGTGCAGGTGAGCCAGATTGTCATGAAGATGCGAGTGGCCACCAATCGAGGATCCTCGATCTCTTCCAGAGGCAGAAGCCACTCCTCCTACGCACAGCACAGTAGAAGTGGTATAAAGAAGAAGTCTCTTTCGAAAGATGGGGGAGCCATTCTCAAAACTCTCAAGTTTCTCAAGTTTCTCAACTTTTTTCAAGTTTCTCAAGTCGGCACATGACGCTTATTTTCGAAGAAAGTGACGGGAAATATTTGAGTCAGTTTTTTTTTCTCCTGGAAAATTTCGACTTCTTAACCAGCCATTTTGAAATTTTTTTAAAAAATTGTCTTGTAACTTTTGGTGTTGTTAGCACAAAATTAAATTTTATATTAATGTTAGATTAAGATTATATAATTTACGTTAATTTATATTTCACCAGCCACCATTTTTCGAAAAGTTTGACCAAAAAATTAGTAAAAATACGGGCGGATTTTCAAAAACATTTCGAAAATTTTGCCACAACAAATTTGCTTTTGGCTCAGAAAAAAGATATCTTTTTTTATTTCTTTTTCTTCAAAAACTTTCCCATTTTTTAACAGATTTAGGTTCTTACTTTTTGCTTTTGCTTCACACTCCCACAATTGAACCTCCGCAATTTTCAGTCCCTCTGCATAAGGTGGCAAATTTTAATCCCTCTGCCCAAAAATATAAGTGGGGTATTAAACGTTTGTGTATACGTGTGTGTGTGTGTGTGTATGTGTCGCGTGCGTGTGGGGGATTGATAAGTGCTTTTGTCTCAGAAAAAAAAACGAAAAAAAAAATGAAATTTAAAACACAGGAGAAAAAATTGATTCTTTTTTAAATCAGTACATTTGGAATTCGAGCACGCCGTACTATCAGAAAACTTTCACATTACTTTTTCGAGTTATGCAGAATGTCTTGCCCAAATTTGCATGATGCGAAGAATAATTAAACTGAAAACCAAATTCACGAAAAAAAAAGAGAATTTTGAATGAATAATAAGTTATTTCAAAATTCGAGAAAAGCTTGGATTATAATTGATTCATATTTCAAATCTTTATCCCAGGGTCAGATCCCAGGTCAATATTTACTGCAATGTTGTCTAGGAAGTTTCCATGTTTTTTAACTTAATTCAGATGCTGGTAATTAATGGAAGATAGATTGATCCCAGTAAAGCGAAAGCGGTGAATTTAATAAATCCAAAAGGAATTGAGGCAAAAAAAGTTGTATTAATAGAAAACGCAAAACATATCAGTTTATATTTTACCCAGCATAATGTAAAACAAAACAAAAAACAGATTCAAATGATTTATTTTTGAAAACTGAATCAATCTTATCAATCAACACTTTTTTTTACCTCATTAAGAGACGTTAAAGGGCAAACGGAACATTCAATGCTTCATTTTTATACGAACACTTTTATTTTCGAGTGTTGCATTTTTTTTAATTAAAACGTACTCCTTTCCAATTGCATGGTTATTTGTTGTCAAATTTGTTTCAGTTTTCATACCAACAGTAAAGCATTGTTTTTATAACAAAAAACAATTGTTTGCATTAATTTTGTTTCAGTTTTTAGAAATTGTTGCGAAGGAAAACTCTTTGTTCAGTCTTGACATTTCCGGCACCATATTACGGGTTTTTGGGATATTTACGGTTTCTACTCCCTAGATTGATAATTTTTGCAGCTCAAAAATTTTAAAATAGAATTGAAAAACAATTGTTGGTAATCCTGTCACCGTGGTAGATGTCGAGCAAAAGCCCAAAAAACGAGATTGCAGGTCGCATTTTGAATGATGTCTTAAAAATTTAGTCAATGAAACGACAAAAAAATGTAAAAAAGGGACATTTTGAGTCTATTTTGCATGAAATTGCTTTGTTTCCATCTGCCCCTGAATCTTGTTTTGCGTTTTCAACTAACATCGTTTTTTTGTGTATCATTTTCCCGTTCATTTTCCTTGATTGGGGTGGGGGAGTCATAACTGAAAGGGCCCTTTTTCCAAATTAAGCCCAGATAATCAGTCCAGATAAATTAGATCAAGATCACTAATTAGATTCAGCTAAAACTATATTAAAAACATGTACTTACGATTATGTCTCTTTCGCTAATTTGGATTGCAGAGATATTCATTTTTTTAGTTTTTTTTAAAAGATATGAGTCTCTAAACAAGAGCACAAATTCAAAAAAAGTGGAAATCAACAGCAAAAAGAAACAACTCAAAGCGAATCAATTTTTTTGTGATCTCTAAAAGATGTTATCAAATGAAAGAGCAAGCAATTTCTGAAGGTTCACTGTCATCTTTTTTTTCCGCCGCTAGTTTTACATTCAATTCTTACATTTGCGTCAGAATGGAAAATTGATACGCTTTTGGGTTTCATTATATTTTTAACTTGAAACCGCGCCTGAAAACAAATGGTTTTGGTCCAAAAATGGGCATCAAATAAATTCCATTTTTGATTTTAGAAATCGAGGTATTGATAGCAGCAACCAAGTAACAATAGCGAACAGACAGGCATGCACAGTAAACATCTAAAAAAGTACTATTTTTCAAAATTACCAAACAAGTACCATAAATTGTAACAAATTAATTTTTTCCTAGCAATTGAAACTAGGAAGAACAACTTTAGCAAATTATTTTTGAATTTACAGAACAGAATTAACAAAATGACGTTGTAATATTTTTGGCAGAAAACCAGGCAATGAAACCGGATAAAAACTTGGAAAATGGTGCTGGGCACTTTGTTACCTGGCAAAGTCTCATTGTCTGATTCCGCTAAAAGATTTTGCAACAGATATCCTAAGTCATCGATCGAACTGATAGTAGCTGGATGGCATATTCACGCTCATTGCTTTGACAGTTAGACGTCTGGGACACTTAAAGAATCTACTAAGTACCCTGAACAGCTAAAATCTGCACTCAAAATCGAAGTAAATTTGATGAAGGCCTCTTGGTTAAAAATGAGAGACTGGAAGTTCCTGAAACATCATTTTTTTCTGCAATATAACCATAGCAACTGGGGCGACGAGAAATATGATAGGAATAGACTCTGATCAGCGAAGTACTGTATGGTGCAAGATTACTGGATAGTCGTTCTGCCATCTGTGTTTGAGTCTCGCTGACGAATAAATCAGAACATTATTCGCATTTCGCTTCGGTACCTCAGACTCTTCACACTACAAATTTAAAATGGGAACCACAGTCAATACGGTTTGCTGTCATGCTTTGATTTGCACTAAAATTATACACAGGTTCATAAGCACATAACAACCCGGGTCGCGGTCGTGGTTTTATGTTTTATGTTCAGACTTAATGAGTCTGAATCGATCCGCGTGGGGACCGAAAATTCATAGTCGCCACGCAGGTCAAAGTCTGCAAAGTCTAAACATAGGTCTGCAAAGTCTGAACATAAGTTTGCAAAGTCTGAACATAAGTCTGGAAAGTCTGAACATAAGTCTGCAAAGTCTGAATATAAGTCTGCAAAGTCGGTCTACTGCGTCAGTATGGACAATGAGAAGATAGACTGACGCTTATGCTTTGAGCTCGCCAAAAACATTAATTTTGGATTTTTGTTGGTTAGCAGAGCCTCCAACTCAACAATTACACCAGGAGTGCTACCTGAAACAAACTAGCATCTGACGCAGAGGTAAGACAACCAAGATTCTTTTCAGACCTGCCAGACACAGACATCTCCGAGCCCATCTAGGGGGCCTCGGCAAAACCTGTCTCAACTTTCTACAATAGCTAGCCATCAACAAGTCAGGTCAGTCACCAGAGCCGAACCCATTCAGATACCTGAATCAACGCCTCAGCTTAACGATCCCAGTAGATAAAGCAGATTGCGTTTTTGAGGCCTTTAAGGACAAGTAGGCGCAAAACCATATTTTCTGTTTTTTTTTCCGCTCAAACTTCAATTGAAATTCAACAAACAAGTTGGTCAATTTAATCAATTTTTTACATAATGTCTTTTAAGCTATATTTTTTGAAAATTTAACTCTGTGATTTCAGAATGTAAAATATTGGCTAAACTAGTAAAAACGAAATAAATTACATGCTGGCTGAAATTAGATTAAGAACGAAATCTATAAACAAAAATTTTTGTAGCATATTCATTAAATGGTTACAAAAAAATGTTACGTTGTTTTAGTAATAGTCGCAAGTTTTTGATTGGGCAAAATTTCAAAGTTTCAATAGATGACGGGTATGACACTTTGTATGATCTCTGATAATTTTGTACTCATTGCTTCAGATTTTCAAAACCTGAAGATGCACAAAACTGTGGAAAAACATTCTTGAATTTTACAATTTTAGTATTTTTTATTTTATTATGAGTCGGGATGTCATTTCACGTTAGTTTGTTGTAACCTAGGTACTACCTAATGAATCCCTAAAGACTGGCACTACAACTTCCACGCTGATAATCTGAAAGATGCAGTCCATCTGTTCTTGACGCATTTTTGACCTGTTGAATAAATTTTTTAGCACCTCAGGTATCTAAATACCTTTTCGAATCCTGAAAAGAATTTCGTTAAAAAAACGGTTACACATAAACCAACTTGATCAATCCAACAAATATCTCAAATAAATTAAATTTATAGTTGTTTCAAAGATCACCACAGATCAGTTCTTTTTTGATTGCTTATTTGCTTTATGTTTTGAATGGACAAAAAAGGTTGCGATCTATTTAAATGTGAAATAATCTGCAGTCCAGATGCATTTGAACAAAAAGTCTATGATCTATTCGGCGATAGAGTTTTTCGGACGATTTGTAGGTTTTTGAACGCAAGGTTTTTTAAAAAAATTTCTGTCTCGAACAAAGTATTCAAAATTCTTCTATAGGAAATTGAAACAGCCAAATCACGAGGCGCCGAAACTGCAAGACATCCAGCTCTTACATCGCACAAGAAATGAAATGTGCAGAATTTTGAACAACGAATCTCCCATGGTCTTGGAAAATAGCTGCAGTGGATCCCTAAAGAAGAGAAGGGACCCTAGAAAGGTTGAGAAACATTGGCCTATCTCACTACTTTGCATTGGCAGCAAATAGTTTGCGAAATGCCTTTACATGCTTTTGAAGTAACATTTCAAGAAATAACTGACGGAAAATAAACAGGGTTTTATGCGGAAAAGGTCGAAGATGAGTAACAAGCTACAGTTTCTGAGCAAAATCAATTAAGCCTTACATATATTCAGATACAATTTTTAAGCAATATTTAATCAACCTTATATATTCAACTTTTCCCCTTGAAGCAACCGGATCAATCCAACATGCACCTGCCAAATATAATAAATTCAGGTATGTTTCAAAGATCATATCTGACTCGGTTGTTTTCTGGTTGCCTACTTACTTTATGATCTTAATGGAGAAAACCTGCTCCGAAGCTAAACGCGACCTAATCTTCAGCCCAGATGCAAATGAACAAGAGGTCATTAATCGATTTGACGAAAGAATTTTTTAAAGAAAATTGTTAGTTTCCCGACGCGAGGCAAAACATTTTAGATATCTTGCCATATCAGCACTCTAATTTGTCCTCAGTTTGTGATGAAAACTTTTACAAAAGTGATGATCGTTCGAAATATTGCTTTGTAAAGTCTAACATTGAACTGAAAGCCAGAGACAGTTTATACAGCTAAACTTTTGGTGATGTGATGCTGTTCTTGTTGCACCAAAATAGACAACTTGTATGCTGAGCTGTTGGAGTATGAGTATGTCTACTCTATAATTAACGCTCTTGTACCAATCAGAAGAAAACTTCGACAATCAGGTACTCCAAGTCAATTTTTAATTCCCTCTCACTCTATGAATTACACTATTCGGCCCGCTGAGACAAAACACTGAAAAACTAGAATTTTTACAGAAGTAATCAGTTAATTGCAGCTGTAGAAGTTTAAATTATCAGCAGGGTCAATCAGATCAGCTGCTTTCACTCAATCTCTCACCGCTACCTAATTAAATGATCATTTAGTTTTCTCAAAATCAGAAGAACACGATATCGTAAATCATTTAAAACGATTAAATACAAACTGAAAAACAGAAATCTTTGCGATCAAAAAAAAACTCTTAGGGTCCATAAATTGAAATAGCAGCGAAAGATTTAATTGAATGAATTAGTTTCCCATTTTTAGTATCAAGAGATTAAAGATCATGACTTCAGAGATTATTCATATCGGTATGAACGAATTATTACTTCAGATGAAAGTCAATTGGTTTTAATTAGACAGTGTGCTAAATATATATAATGCACAGTTGAAACCCCCACTCAATTGGCGAACATCTGAAGCCCAAAACGTTTGCACTTTGTCTTGCCCAAATTCTTAGTGAGAATATCAGCCACCATATTGTCAGTCCCAATATAGTTCAAATCCAACTGTTTCTTTTGAATTAAGTCCCTGATGAAATGTAGATGAATAGCAAAATGTTTTACGACTCCCTTGTTAACGTCGTTTTTCACAAGAGAATTACATGCTTGGTTGTCCACAAACATTTTGAAATCAATTAAATCGAGTTTGATTTCGATCAGTAAATTCAACAGGAATAATCCTTCATTACAGGCTAACGAAAGAGCTGTAGCCTCTGATTCAGCTGTAGATTTTGCAACAGTAGTTTGGAGTTTGCTAGCCCACGATATTGCACCGCTGTTTTCAAACAGGAAAAAGCAATATCCACTAGTACTGCGTCTAGTGTCACTGTCACCTCCCCAATCAGAATCAGAATAGCCATACAAGATTGGCGTAGCAGTACATCGTCTGTAGATAAGTTTATACGATCTAGTTCCTTTCAAATATCGTAGAACTCGTTTTGCAGCAATCCAGTGTACTTCAGTAGGGTCGTTCACATATCTACTCAAGCAATGAGCGATGAATGAAATATCAGGCCTTGTAGTAATTGACAAGTAACTTAGACTGCCGATAATTCCTCTATAATCTTTGTCGTTTGCTAATTTCACCTCATTTGGTAGCCGTTTACAAAGTTTTAAACCATCAGCTGCAGGTGTAGACACTGGTTTACACTCAATCAAACCAAATTTTGACAGTAGCTTGTCAATATACGCTTCCTGAGAAATTTCTAACCCATCCCCACAAAAGTTGAATTTCATCCCCAAAAACCAATAAAGTTTTGCTGTTTCGCTGATTTTGAATTGACTAGATATTTGTTGTTCAAATGATATAAACTTGTTAGCATCATTGCAAGCGTAA